TCTACCAATCAGAAGTTCAGTGGTTTGATCCGCGACTCCTCTAGTCTCATGTTCAAGTATCATTGGCCAAGATGCTGAACTGTACAGTTCCCCCTTATGCATCCACTGGACTCCAAGTTCTTGAGTGTTAGGTTAAGAGCACCATTAACGTTAAATTAAAAGCACTATAATATCACTGCCATTTACCAGATAACCTAAACTTTTTCTGTTTCAATATTTAATACAATCAAACTCAGTACACCTATGCAGATGGCCATAAATCTGATTTTATTGATCTAACTAAAGATTCCCACAGCGTTTCTATTGAGGACTTATTTTAGAAATGACCTGGGTGAGGAAATTATATCTACAAATGATTTTAAAAGCATCATCAGGAGACGTTGATGTTTTTTTCTGGTGAAACCACTAGTGTTTTGTTGTGTGTATTTGTATATAGTATATCACATTAGAGATCTTTTATTTCATGTTTTATTTGTTGCATTTTCATGTTTTTTTTAAGCTCGTATGGCTACTGCCTTGGCCAGGCCACCCTTAAGATTTGAAATCAGTGGGAGTTGCTGTTTAAATCATGAGAAATGAATAAAAATGTTCTTATGTTTTGATCACTTGCTGTCACTGTCTGTTGTTTTTAAATGTGTTGTAATTGAATTTACTAACATGTGCTCCAAAGTAACTATGTTTTGGGCTCTGACCGCAGAGGTTTGCTCCCTCCGTGAGATTATCTGCTCCTCACAGAAGTCCCAAACCGCTTTCCCCGCCACACTGATGAAAGGTAAGAAAACGGAAACATCTGCAGACAAGAAACCTGATCAAGATGATCCCGATCTGTCTGTGTGTTTACTTTCCCCTCTGTGAGCCCCTCTCACACACTCAGTCTGCAGTGATGCTACGTGCAAACAGGGAGGCTGAGTGGGTAGATGAAGAGGATGACCTGCTTTTTAAGTACGCACAGGAACCCCCACCCCCCACCCCACATACACATGTGTCAGCTGTGGGATTTGAAGTTCAGCAGGCCTGTATGTACATGAGGTCCAAACAGGGTGAGGAAACATCCCAGTAATAGAAGAAAAAGAGGCAGAGTATTTCAACCAGTGAAATAGGAAAGCAGATCTGGAAAATTGTGGTCTCATCGTTGGATCTGATAAACAAGTTAAAAGCACTTCAGAGATCCACCGCCAATAAAGCACTTAGCTGACTAACAGCGTAGTGCCTCATATTGTTTTACACAGTTCAGTAAGCCAGTCTGTAAGAAGGAGAGAGAAGCAAACTGACTTCAGACAGTCACTGTATCCATTCAACCGTCAACAAGTGTGAAACACTGAAGCAAAGACCTTGTGTGTCCTTCACCTGATCTCATCTAGAAAATCAGGAACGAGGAAGGAAAAACAGATGAAAGTTATGAACGTTATCAAGGTCAGAAGAAGAAAATCTGAAGTTACGTGACGCAAATGAGAAGATGAAAAGCCCAAAAATCAGAGTTATCTTCCCCGTCTCATCCCCGACACAGCTGAAAGAGCTGGTACACCAAGATTATCTGACCAGTATGAGCTGGTTTTAGAGGTGCTGCTGCTGTGTTTAGTCTGGCAGCCCAGTGCAGCAGAGGTGCCAATGCAGATACACAGATAGACCACTTAACATGGCAACACCCAGCGTTTAAATCTGACTCATGGAGCGAGCTGGTGCAACACAAACAGAGCAGAAACAGGTTTAAAAACAACACAGGGAATAACAGAGACTGCTAAGATGCAAACTTTTCCATCTTTATCCCAAATATCAACCACCAAATCTGTACTAAATAATATACTCATATACCCTGCATACATTTTAGACACACTGCAGTAATTGCAAGCTCAGATGTACAGATGCACTTTAGTCTACAGATGCACTTTAACCTCCCGTAACTGCTTCCAAACTGTATGAGACCACAACATGGTACTTTAAACAATGTTTTGCATGTGTGAAGAAACGTTTAAGGTTGTTTTCAGGAGTATTTACCTGGAAGAAGTAGCGACAAAATCTCCATCCAGCAGCCGGAGCTTGCAGAAGAGGACGCCGTTGACAAAAGGCACCGCGGTGAGCTCCTCCAGGGTAAGATGGGTCTGAAACTTGAATTTCTTCTTTTTCACGAAGAACGCCATAGTTTAAAAGACTCTCAAAGCTATCAAAA